CACAGAGCCTAGAAATGGATGTGAGAATTGCATGGAAAGGTGGTGGAGAGGCTTTCAGAGGGGCTGGGTGGTGATGAGGCAGAGAAGGAGGAGAGTGCTGGAAAGCAGCACAGCCTGGGAGTCCTTAGCCAAGGGAGGGATGGGGACCAGCATTTCTGATGCCTCATGGCATGTCCATCGTCCTTCTGTTGTGGTGAGGCACTGTGTGCCTTGGCATCTCCCAGGGTATGTGTTTTTCTCTGAGGTTGTGCAGCTGTTGGACAAATTGATGCTGGTCCGTGGAGAGCTCCCAGAGATGCCTCACAGGTGTCACAGGGAGAGGATGCAGGGCTGTGTTCAGGGGGAGAAGCAGCAGATCCTCACCAAGGTGGAGCAGCTGATGTAAAAGGTGCCAGGGGCTCAAGGAGGAGCCAAATCCAGCCCCTGCCTTGCAGGTTTCTGCCATACCTGCAGGAGCATCCTTCCAATGCAAGGCTGGATCCAAGTGACACATTGGGATGGGAACATCAGAGGATGTTACATTTAATTAGCTCAGGGTTTGTTCGGGTTTTTTTTTTGATACATAAAGGCAACACAGCTTTTGCTTCAAAATAGCAAATGACAGAAATTACAAAAGTACTGATGTATTGTTGGGGAGCACCATGGCTGTGGTGTCCCTGTGACTTCTCATGTTACTGGACTGCCAGGACTTGCTCTGCTGGTGTGTCAGTGCAACACCACAAACTGGTGGGCAGCAAGGATGGGGAGGTCCTAGGGGTAGCCCAGGTTTGCCTGGCCTGTGAGATACAAGGGAGATTAAGGTTTTTCCCACGTTCCTTTGTTTGCCTGGAGTCTGAGACTGCATAACCACACCGACCTGGTGTGGACTCCATGTCCATTTCTTTTGGAAATATGAAGGAAAAAACATCTTGGGATTTTGAAATTTCATGTTCTTTTCCCCCATCTTTAAAGCTGACAGTAACAAAGGGAGAGGCTGGCCCTGGGCACTGCTGTGATGCATCTCTGAGCATCACTAAACCTCTGTGAGGTTCCTGAGCAAGCAGAGGTAATAAAGGAACGGCTTGGTTTGGCCTTTCCCATTGCTGGCAGATCGATAGGCAATAACTGAGATCCCATTCAGGGCTGAAAGGGAAGGACAGAGCCTGGCCAGGGCTGTGGTGGTGCAGGGCAGCAGACAATCTGTCAGCTCCCACGGCCGGGGAGAAACAGTAAACACTCCTATTGAGGGAAAATTGCTTGTTTTCTGGTACCCAACTTTCTCTTCATCGCCAGGTCCTCGGTTCATCAGTGCCCAATTTATCCTTTATTTGGTTTTCATAAATAATTCAGAAGAGTTTGAGTAGAATAATTGAGTCTTTTCCCAACCCTAATCCCAGACAATTCAAAACAAAAAGACATTTAGATTACAATTTCAGCGTATTAGCTGTTGGGAGATTTCCAGACAACTGATCTGCTTTCCTTTACAATTTCTGTGCTGTTCTATCATTTCTAAAGTGTTCTGCTTTGATAGTTAATAATTTGAGCATATCCAGTCCTTCATGAAAAGACAGAGGCGTCGCTGTGATAAAGTGCGGGCGCGCGTGCTGCCGTCGGATGGGTGAGCTTATCTGTTTTCCAAGAAGGACTAAATAAATGAAGTAGTGAGATTGCAAATCCAGCCTGCGATGTGCCTTATCTTCAGGGAAATAGATACAATCGTGCTTATTTGGCTTAAAATTAAAACTAAGCTTCTCTTCTGATGCGAGCTGAAAGGCCAGAAGGGATGAATTTGGGGAAGACTTAATGCAGGAAACCACGGGCTTGGGATCTGCATCTTGCAGAGGGGAGAAATTATACCAAGGGCTGGTCCCATTGCTGTGCAGGCTCCTCCAGCTCCCTTTTCATCAGTAGGAGGAGGGTGATGGGCCAGGATTTTGACACTGTTCCATGGATGCCCTGGTGTTAACCAAAGAGACAGGGCTTGTCACCTCACTGCTGTCACCTGGTGCTGACCTAGCAAAAGAAAGTGGTGATTCTTGCTTGGGGTAAGGGTCTGGGAAGGTCACAGCTGCTGTGAGTGCCCAGAGGCCTCAGGGCAGGGTGATGACATGGCTGGACCCTCCCAATGTTGTCATGCAAAGGGCAGTCCCATGGTCTCCACTGCTCTGGAGCTGGCTGCTGGGTCTGTGCACTGAGGTGGGAGCAGGAGCATGCTGCCATCCTGCCCTGCACTGCCAGCACTGCCCTGAGCAGCTTCCTGGCTGAACTGGGTGTATTTGCCTGCATGAAAGAAGAGTGCAATGCTCCTGCACCCCACAGCATCAAAGGAGGTGCCCTCAGGAGGCACCTGAGCTGGCATTGAGGGAGGAGGGTACTCACACGTCAGCAGGATCCAGTCCACGTCATTCAGAAAATCTTTTGGGAGCCCTGCACCTTTGGAAACCATTCCTGCTTGTCCTTGCCCATAGATCCCTAGGGCATGTGTCTTCAAAACAGTATTTTCTGTAACAGGATTGTGCTGTTGCCAGAGGAAGGTTAGATTGAATATTAGGAAGAAGTTTTTCACTGAAAGGGTGGTTAAGCACTGCCACAGGCTGCCAGGGCAGTGGTGGAATCACCATCCCTGGAGGGAATTAAAAAGATGTGGATGTGGCTCTTGGGGACATGGTTTGGTGCTGAGCTTGGCAGTGCTGGGCTGACAGTTGGACTTGATGATCTTGTAGGGCTTTTTTAAATGATTCTGTGCTTCAGTGATTGTATGGTGCTGGTGGCCAGAGCAGGGGGGTGGCACTGACCCCCATGGTGGCCTCAGCCCCGTGTGGTTCAGGCACAGGGGAGCATTCATCCACCCAAGCCAAGAGCTCTGAGGCGTGAGGGATTGCTCAGGTTTGTGCTGCCCTCATTGGAGCTGGGCTCTGAGACTGGGTTAAGGAGATGCTGTTGACCCAGGCTGTGACCTGTCAGCACAGGGCTGTCAGGAGCAGGGTGCATTTCTACCTTTTGTTGTAGAAAACACTCTACAGTGGGATTCCTGTGCTCGTTTGGATCACAGACCCACACTGCTGGAGGGACTGTGATATCTCACATATCCCTTCTCATGTTTAATTAATGCCTCTCTTAATATTTTTTTTAATTTCCCACACTGGCAGTGTGTTAAAAGGTTACTGTGGTGTTTGTAAGCATGTGTTAACACAGAGAGGCTTAAAGGACCCTGATCTTTCCCAAACTGAGCTGACTGTAATATATAGGCTGTTAATTATGTTTATTGAAGGGTGTGCCAAGACTGTGTCTGACCAGCTCAAATCAGGTTTATATGGACATAGTTAAAAATGTCTCCAAACAGCTGCATCAGGAGGAGAGTACAGTGAAATTCAGAGGTCCCAACATAGCAAAGGTTGTTTATATATTGTATTGAACTCTAATTGGGTTAGCAGCTGAGGCTCTGAGGATTAAACAAACTGACCTAAATACTGGTCTCAGTGGTCTTACTTAATGTCTAGTTTCCTGCATTTCAGTCGATTTGGGTTCCCAAATACTCTCCAAAGTGTGTTATCTTTGTGTCAAAAAATGTAAAACTATACTGTGTTATTTCTTGTGATTCTGACAAAGCAATTCTCATTTGGAGAACAGACTGTGAAGAGATTAAACAATATCCAAAGAAAACACCTGATCCATCCCAGCCTTGTGGAAGGAATGCAGAAGTACCAGGGATGGAGCGAGATGGTGTCCAGGCAGGATTGCTGGCACTGGCAGTTATTATTCCAGCTAATAGCAGATGGTAGAGAGGAGAAATCATCCATTTTCATTTACAATTTATTTTTGTGCTGCAAGAGGCAGGATTGCTCGAGTCATTGCTGTCAGGCAGCCCTCTGGAAGGAAAACCTTACTTACCGTGAGGGATATTTTTAGAATGAGATTCTCATCCTTGTATATTGGGAGAAGATGCTGCAGGGCCACGAGTGAGATGGAAAATGAGCCCATTCACTCACTGAAGGACTGGAGGATTTTCCTGCAGGAGGGGACCAGTGTTGATCTCACAAGGGGTTTATTGAGTCAGGAGAAATCTGTGTTTGTGGATATGTAAGCAGCACCTCGATCACATTTTAGCTGGATAATTTCTGTCTTAAGCTTTTGTCTGTCCCTGCTCAGGACAATGAGGTGATGTGATGGAGACATGGAGGTGCTTGGGGCAGTGAAGTGACCTGAAGGGGACACAGAGGTGCTCAGGATGGTGAAGTGACGTGAGGAGGATGTGAAGGTGCTTGGGACAAAGTGGCTCTGTGTTTCCCACATCTTTATTCAAGACAAGAACGACATTTTCTTGTGGCCTGTGAAGGCCAAATGTGGAGAAGCCCATTTGCTGTACATCCCTTGACATTTGGAGATTTGTGTGTTTGTGCTGAAACCATCAATCCCCTGAGATAAAGCAGCCTGTTTCTTCAGTTAAAAACTAATTTTTGGTCTGCATCTTGTCCAAGCTCACACCCTGTGGCTGGATTTCCTGACTGCCCAGTGTGGGGGCCTTGAAGGGGTTGCAGCTGCAGGGCTTGGGCTCTTGGCACTGCCTGGCTGGAGGGGAGTCCCTGCCTGTTGCCATGTTCTCCTACCCAAAACCTCCAGAGGAACATGTCCCTGCCATGTTCTCCTGCCCAAAACCTCCAGGAGAACATGTCCCTGCCATGTTCTCCTGCCCAAAACCTCCAGAGGAACATGTCCCTGCCATGTTCTCCTGCCCAAAACCTCCAGAGGAACATGTCCCTGCCATGTTCTCCTGCCCAAAACCTCCAGAGGAACATGTCCCTGCCATGTTCTCCTGCCCAAAACCTCCAGAGGAACATGTCCCTGCCATGTTCTCCTGCCCAAGACTTGCCCTGCAGGGGCTTAATTTGACACGCTGAAGTTGGTGATGCAGACACCCCCTGTGCAGCCCCTGGGGGCAGTTTCCCAAGGACTCCTCCCTGGGCAGGAGTGCCCCAGCCTGTCTGGGCTCTGCACTCAGGCTGGGCTTTCTCCCGGTGCAGGTTTTCCGGACGGATCTGATAACAGCCATGAAGATCCCTGACTCCTTCCAGCTGAGTCCTGACGAGTACTACGTTCTGGCTGATCCTTGGAGGCAGGAGTGGGAGAAGGGTGTCCAGGTGCCAGCAAGTGCCGAGGCCATCCCTGAACCTGTGGTCAGGTAAGTGAGTGGGGTCTCCTCCATCTGCTTCTGTCCATGGGGAACCTGGTCCTGGTTGGGGACCTGGTCCTGTGCCTGGTCCCCTCTGCCTTGGTGGTGTGCACACCATCTGGGAGAGCACACAGAGGTGATGCTCGGGATCCTGGCCTTGCACAGGGATGCACGGGGACCTCCCACCACATCCTCAAAAATCCCTCTCATGTGCGTGGCTTTTTTTGGGCAGTGGCCAGCTGGGACAGCTCCTTGTTTGCTCTTGGTCAGGAAATTTTAAAAAAGATCTGATAAAATCGAAGGAGCAATAAAAAAATAACAACAGCAAACCACGCAGAATGCCAGCCTCTGCCTGGCTGCTTGATGCTTCTCTGCCTAGGAGCACGTGGTTGTACCACTGGTATTTCACGGCAGGGGAGCAGGAGTTGGCCCTTAAATTAAAAACTTCCCTCTTTACCATGTTTGTGCAGATTGGAGACGTGCTGGGCATGCTGAGATTCAGGGCTTGGGAAAAGGAGCCCAGCAAACACAGAAGCATCTCCCAAGACCTTGTAGAGAAGACGTCTGTCAGCAGAGATCGGGGGCTCATTAGCTATTTTAAAATAGGGAACTGAGTTTTAAAATAGACACTTAAACAGCTGCTCAGGCGAGATGGAAACATGGGGGAGCTGCTACTCCCTTGACGTGTGTGGGGGATTATCCCAGGGCAGTGGCCAAAGCTGTGGGGGAAACGTTGGTGCTGCCAGTGGGGGGAATGGAAAAGCTGGGAAGGGACCCCTGAACCTGCAGGGTTGGATCTGAAAACTTGCAGGATCAGACCCCAAACTCCCCACAGGGTTTACAGGAGCTTTGCATCTCTGGTGTGTTCCCTTTGTGACGTGTGGCACTGTGTGTGCATCCTGCAGGAACACTGGTGCAGCGTCGTGCCAGGGCGATGCTGGGGCTGCTCGTGGCACTGGGGTGGCTGCTGGGGGATGTGTTTTGCCAAGGGATTTGGGCACAGAGCAAAGGCTGGTGGAGGCTCCGCTTGTCCCACAGCAACAGCAGCTGCTGCTGCTGCAGCTGCCGACCCCGCTGCTGAAATAAACTTTTGTGTACGCTCCCCTTCCTCCCCCGGGGAAAACAGAGAAAGAAATGAAACTTTAATGAGTCTGAACACATCAAAAGGGAAGTTGTAAAGGGGGCTGTTGAGTTGATTTAATCCTTGGGAAAAAAAAAAAAAAAACGCAACCAAAAAAAAAGAGAAGGGAAAAAAAAAAGCCTGTGTGTGAAATATCTTTTTTTAGTTGTCTTTGATAGCTAACCGCAGTCTGGCCTCGCCAGTGCTCTGCTCCCCAGCTGAGGGCTCGTGCCGGGGCTATTTCCAGCTGAAAAGTGATAGCTTGGCACTGCCTGGGCTGGCAGTGCCCATGTAGAGCCAGGAGTGCTGCTTCTCAGCAGTGGGATTTGGCATCCCACACCTCACAGCCAGGGCCTTCTGGGGTGCAGGACAGGCTGGAAATGAGCCTCTCTTCTTGTTTCCAAGCCCTTGGGTTTGGGCGTCCTGGAGCAGCTCTCCCAGGAGTTTTCATGCATGGTTATTCCTAGAGTGATGCCTGGACCAGGTCATTCCCTCCCAGGGCCCCATCCCACTCTGTCCTGCTCTGGCACCCCCAGCACTGTGATGGTGGTGGTGTCCCCCTTTGGTTTCTGGAGGGGACATCCTGGTGCTGCCCACTCACCTTGAGTGTGAAGTTTCACTTCCAGTGTCAGTTTTTCTTCCAGTGTTATCCTCTGAAGAATTTCCTAATTCTTGAGATTATTTTACTGGTTTGATTATTCTCAGAATTGGCACTTTTCCATAATCCTTGAGGAATTGCCTCCTGAAATAGTTCCAGCTCTTTCCAGCTGAAATTCAGTACCTCAACGTTGTTTTGAGTTCAAGCCTTGCTCCACAAAGAGTTTGTTTTATTTTTAAAGCAGCAGATTTTAGAAAGAAATTCTTCCAGTAAGGGTGGTGAGGTGCTGGCAGAGGTTGCCCAGAGAAGCTGTGGCTGCATCTCTGGAAGAATGGCCAGGCTAGACAGGGCTTTGAGCAGCGTGGTCTAGGGGAAGGTGTCTCTACCCATGGCAGGGTATTGGAGCTTGATGACCCCTTTAAAGTCCTTTGTAAGTCTGTAATTCTGAAATCTGACCCATTCTCTGTGACCTCTCAGATACTCATTGCTGACTCCATCACTCCCAGCTAATCCCAGGTGGATTTCTGCAGCCCCTTGAGTTTGTGTCACACCCTTGCTCATCCCAGGCTGCTCCTGGGCTGCTTGGGGATTGTGCTGCTTGCCCACAGCCTCAGCTTCCTCTTCTTTCTTCTCCTGTTCTCTGCCTTGCACTGTGTCTCAGTTGCCTGAAGTGTTTCTCTTTGCTGGCTGGACAGCAAGCATGGCCTGGAGGGCTTTGTCCTGGGATAGATGCCTGTTTGGAATATTTTGCCTTCCCCAATGTGATGGGAGTGAAATTAAGAGCTCATTTTACAGCAGTGTTAATGGTTGCACCTGGTTTGTAGCCGTGATGCACTCCCAGGGGGACAGGCAGTGACACTGCCAGGTTTTTTTTAATCAGGACAGAATGCACACCAGAAGGCATAGCAGAGATGGTGTGCTGCTGCTGAGCAGCTCTCCCTCCCAAAGCATCCCTGCCCTCAAGGTGTTCCCTCTTGGGCCACTGATGTGAGAATGGGAGGTGGAAAGGGCAGTGTTGGACTGCCAGGGACAGTGCAGACTGCAGTAATTTGCTGTCTCCAGGGTTAGACAACTTCTTCTTGCATCTTGCTCTGTTTTGGAGAAATGTCAAATGTTTTTTCACAAGAGATGACTCTATTTCGTCTGCCTTACGAGAGCAGCCTTAAAAGGCCTTGTAGTTCCATTTACCTCCCCTGTTTAATTGCTTAGATTCACCCCAGTCTCCCTCCCAGGAGCAGCCACCTTGCTGGTCCTGCCTGAGCTGCTGCTTTTGCCCCCCACCCTGTGGCTGCAGCCCCATGGTGTCAGCATCACTTTTCTCCTTTGCCTCCAAATTTTCCTTTTTCCCTACTCAAAAACTTTCATCTAAACCAAACATCCTCTCTGTGTTGGGTATGGACAATCCAAATTCCTTTAATCTGCTGTAAAAAGTCCCAGCATTGATGTTTTTTGTGGACTGGAAATGTGGAGCCCAGTGGCTGATGCTCTTCCTCGCTGTCAGCGCTCTGCTTTCCCCCATCTCAGAGGTGTAACAGAGCATCCTGCCCTTAGGGGGGGATGCCTGTGCTAATCCAGTCCTGATGTTGTCACTTCTGACAGCCACTTCCATGTGAAACTCCTAGAGGGAGTTGGGGAGGCTGGAGAGAAGACACCAGAGCCCTGGGAGCTGGCGAGCAGACAAGCACTGCCTGCAAAGTAATAGCCAGCCCATGGTGCTGCTGCTCAGGAGCTGGCTCCTGAGCCATGGGCAGCCAGCAGATTGTGCCATGGGGCCTGTGGGAGCTGCTTCCTGCTCCAGAGATGGAGCTCGTTGTCCTAAAGGTGCTGTGCATGGAGCAGAGATGGAGCTCGTTGTCCTAAAGGTGCTGTGCATGGAGCAGAGATGGAGCTCATTGCCCTAAAGGTGCTGTGCATGGAGCAGAGATGGAGCTCATTGTCCTAAAGGTGCTGTGAGCTGGAGCAGAGATGGAGCTCGTTGTCCTAAAGGTGCTGTGCATGGAGCAGAGATGGAGCTCATTGTCCTAAAGGTGCCACGCACAGAGCCACTGCTGCTCTTTTCATCTCCTGCCTGGCTGCGTGGAAACTGGCTCTAGGTTTTGTGCCTCCAAAGCTGAAAATGAGATTTTTAAAACATTTTGTTTTACTGGAGCTGTAAAATGTCAAAAGCTGGGGTAGAGGCAGAAGACAAGAGCTGTATTTTAAGGAATGCTTTCTCCAGAAAGCAGCTGTCTCAAAATGCTTCCATTAAGAGCCACCTTAAACTCGAGGGTCCTTTCTAGGTTAGCACAAATTGCAGTGCAGTTGTGAGGAAAGCAGGGAAGGAAGAGGTGCAGCATATCTTGGCTTGTTGTCCCAGGAGGATGCTGCTGGCAGCCACCTGGATGCCAGGGTCATCAGAGGCAGCACAGGAGATCAGCTGTTTCCTCTCCACGATCGCTTCTGGCTCAGGCTATTCAAAAGGGTTTTATTTGAACCTGAGATTTTATTGGCCTGAGAATTGCCCTGAGCTTGAAGGGCCCCTGTGTGGAGATAAAAGCCACTCCAGTCAGATGGGAGCTATCAGAGGAATGAGTAGGCAGGGCAGCCTTCCCTTCCAACAGGCAGGCTGGCATCCCCTGCCCTTGTGTGTCCTGGTCATCCACCTGCAGCGTGGGTGGTGGTGGCATTCCTGTGTTATCCTGTGTTCCACCTCTGCTAGAGCCCACAGTGGAAGGATCTCCACTGGCTTTCTTGGACCAGAGCTGAGCCTTACAGCCCCTGTGTGAACTCTGCAGTTATTTCACAGTTGTGTAAACAGAGGCACAGAGATTTCCAGCATGAGGAGATCCAGATACAAGGTCCCAGTCTGCTGTCGGTGCAGTTGGGTGTTGGAGGCATAGTTGGCTCATCTCAGTACAGCTTCAGGATTAAACAGGGTAAAGTAAGGGTAAGAGTTATCAGCAGTTTGGGAGCATCAGGGCTTTGGGTACCTCTCCTGCTGTAAATGGGAAGATGTTTCAGATGAGTTTGATGATGTATTCCCAGAGTCACACCATAATAAACCCCAAAGAACATGGACTTTGCTGGTTGATATGGGTGCTTGTAGAAGGCTGTGAAGCCATTTTTGGGCAATGGATGTGCCAGGGACCTGGGCTTGTCCCTTCCTACTGGTGGCGATGCTGGCAGTGTGTTGAGCTTGCACAGTGCAGCATCACTTCGTAAAGCAGCGGCACCTACGTGAGATTTTATGCACCTGTGCAGGTTTTATTTCCTCCTTTATTTAATGATTTAATGTTCTTGGCATGTGGCTCC